GGGGGGGGGGAGGGTTGCATTAGCCTTTGCCTGGGTTTTGAAGGATGGGTAGGAACCAGAGTGGAAGTATTAGAGGAAGAGAACCCTGCACCCTGACATCTCTATCTTATCCTCCTCCCTGGTCTTCTGAGGTGAGCTGGGTCCATTAAGTAAAGAAACTACCTCCTCCTTTTGGGCTGAACCAGCCCTCCCATCTCAGCAGGGCATAATACTGAGAGTCCATCATTGGCTGTGTTTCCTGAATACAGAGGATCTCTTTTGTGGTGCCTGGAACTGGCATCCCCTTTGTGGAGCTAGGGCAAGCCCCGCCTCTGCATGAGACTTGAACTTTGGGGGATGGACTTGGTTTCAGGGGAAGGAGAAGAGGTAGCCTAGGTCACAGGAGTCCAGGCTGGAACCAGAGGCTCCACTGCTGGAATGCTGGCTGCAGTGGGGCTCCTCAGGTCCAGCCCCCAATCATCTCTCTTGTCTTTACAGCTGTATTTGTCTTGCTCCTTTACCCTCCAGGAACTGACATGGACCCAAATCCTCGTGCAGCCCTGGAGCGCCAGCAGCTCCGCCTTCGGGAGCGGCAGAAATTCTTCGAGGATATTTTACAGCCAGAAACAGAGTTTGTCTTCCCTCTGTCCCACCTGCATCTAGAGTCTCAGAGACGTAAGTTTCAAGTTCTGAGGAGAGGGATTAGGGTAGGGTAGGGAGGCTGTTCTGTGGGTCCTCTGTCTTGGGGCCTTCTCCCCTCTTATTTTCTTGGCCCTCTAAACTTAACCTTGGGACCTGACAGGTAATTCTTGCTGTCCTGTCAGCTCCAGCCTGGGTCCTCCTGACTTGCCCCCTTCTTGATCTGCAGCCCCCATAGGTAGTATCTCGTCCATGGAAGTGAACGTGGACACACTGGAGCAAGTAGAACTTATTGACCTTGGGGATCAAGATGGAGCAGATGTGTTTTTGCCTTGTGAAGACCTTCCAGCAACCCCTCAGACGTCTGGTATGCCCCTCTGCTTTGGGGACTTGAGCACCAGTCAGCCAGAGCTGAGTGTTGGGCTCTGAAATGAGGCTGCAAGGCTAGGCTGGGGAAGTATATGAGTAGGGGCTGGAAGTGGGTGTTTCCGCCAACGAAGCAGCAGCCTGTTCTGATTTAGGGAAGTTGACTCTGAGAGGGAACTGCAGTACAGAGCCCCAATTCAAAATTCTAGGAATGGACAATCTCCTTAGCTTTTTAAAATTTTACATTTGTGAAATTATTGTAATTAATAACTATACTTAAAATAATGTAAAAACATAATTTTTACATTTGACAACTTAGTCATCATAGTGATATTAATATTTATTGAGCATTTTACTAGGGTCCTATCACTGCGCTAAAGTGCTTTACGTATATTATCTCAATCCTTACAATGTCCTATCTAGGCAGGTGGTTTTATCCCCATTTCATAAAGAAAAAAGTTAGGCTTAGAGAAGTTAAGAAAGTAGAAAAGCTGGGATTCAAGCCCTGTCTGTTTATCTCCAAAGTCTAAATGTTTAACTTGAAAGATAGATATTCTCTTATTTAAGCCCACTATTTGTTGATGGCCTACTATGCCAGATGTTTTATAAGCATTCTTAGACTTTATTCCCTAAACCCTTTAGGAGTATAGCTATCCCTTTTTTGCAGAGGAGGAGCAGATTCCTTGAACGGAACAGTTACTTGCTCAAAGCCATTCAGCAGCAATAGGTGATGTAGTTAGAACTTGAAATCCTACATTGATTGACCTAACTTTAGATCCCAGATATGGTGTGGTGATGTGGAAGGAGCCGGGAGTCAGGAGATAGAGGTCTTAATCCTGGTTCTTTCCTGGGTTGCTGAAGTGACTTTGGACAAGTCCCTGCTTCTCTCTGGGCTTCAGTTCTTCCTGGCCAGATTATTTCTAAGAGTTCTCTGGAGCCCTGTTTGTGGCCCTGACCAGCTCTTCTCTCTGGGCAGGGGTGGACGACCATACAGAGGAGCTGAGCCTGCCAGTGCCCACATCAGACAGAACCACATCCAGGACCTCCTCCTCGTCCTCTGACTCCTCCCCCAGCCTGCATAGCCCAAATCCGAGTGACGATGGAGCAGACACACCTTTGGCACAGTCTGATGAGGAGGAGGATGGGGGTGATGGAGGGGCAGAGCCGGGAGCCTGCAGCTAGCAGTGAGCCCCTGCCTACAGACTGACCATGCTGGCTGTTCTCCACATGAGGCCGTAGGCTCAACCAGAGCCCTTTGGGAGAAGACCAGACTCTACCTGCAGTAGGCACTAGAGGTGGGAAGGATGATGGGATTATGTACCTCTGTGAATTAGCCCTCTTCTGCTTCACTGCTAACCTTTTCTTGTTGCAACCCTTCTGCCAGTTTTGGCTTACTCCTGAGGTAGGACTTGCAAGTGAGGAGATGGAAGATGAGGTTGGACAAGATGCCACTGCTTTTCTTAGCACTCCTTCCTCCCCCAAACTATCCTATAGTCTTCTAAGTCTCCTAAACCAGTGTCTGTAGGTGGCTGAGAACTCCTTAGCCCGTCAAACGAGGTAGTACTTCAGCCATCCTGCCTCCTTACATCTTTTTGGAACAGAGCACGGTATAATAATAAACAAATAATAATATACCAACCATTCCACTTCATTTTTCATATCACAAAGATATCAAACCCACTATATATCTTTAGCTCAACACCATATCCCATTTCTCATTCACTCCATTTAGCCAAGATACATGTATTGAACACCGTGCTACACATTTGGAATATGGTTTTGAGCTGTATTCCTGCCTTCATGGAGTTTACTGTCCATGGAGGAGAAGATCAAGTAAATACAGTTCATTGTGTAATAAGTAGTATGGTGGGGAACTACTCTGGTACTGGAAGATAGGGGCACCTTAACCTAGCTTGTATGGTCATTGAAGAGCTGATTTTTAAGCTGAAGGATTAATAGGAGTTAGCCAGGCAGGGGGCCATAAACCAGGCAGAAAGAGCAGCTTGTGATAACTTTAATGGAGAGAATGTAGCCTTGAGAAGCTGCTGCATTGTTGGATTTGAGGAGATGAAGGGAGAAGTAAGACTGACAAAGGTCAGGTTGTGAAATGCTTTGAAGCCTGGGTCAGGTTTTAGTTTGACAGCTAGTAAAAGATCATGGCTTAAGATATAAATTTATTTCCTCATATAAAAGTTAAAAGTACAGGGCTGTATAGAAGCTCCATAGTTATTGAGCACTGGACTCCTTTTTGGCTCTTTTTTTTGAGTTGGAGTCTCACTTTGTTGCCCAGGCTAGAGTGCAGTGGCACAATCACAGCTCACCACAGCCTCCATCTTCTGGGCTCAGGTGATCCTTCCACTTCAGTCTCCTGAGTAGTTGGGATCACAGATGCACACTACCACACCCAGCTAAGTTTTTTGATTTTTTGGTAGAGACAGTGTCTCACTATGCTGCTCAGGCTGGTCTTGAACTTCTGGGCTCAAGCAAAGTGCTGGAATTACAGGCATGAGCCACTGCGTCTGACCCTTTTTGGTTCTTTCTACACATGGCTTGCATTCTTAGTGATACCTCCTGTCTAAGATGACTGTCAGATCCCCAGCTACTATGACCTTGAAACTAGATGAAAGCAGAAAAAGAAATGGAGGATGAGCAAAGAGATCATAGCCAGATGTCTATTTCCACTTTAGGAAGCATTTTTGGTAGTTCTAATCAATGGCATCACTTTCATCTGATTGGCCAGAGCTTGGTAACACAAGAAATATTTCTTTTTTTTTTTTTGAGTTAGAGTCTCACTCTGTGTCCCAGATTGGAGTGCAGTGGCCGCTCCCAGCCACTGCAGCCTCCACCTGCTGGGGTCCGGCGATCCTTCCACCTCAGCCTTCCGAGTAGCCTGTAAACCTTTTTATAGACGTAGGGAACATAGCAATATCTAGAAGAAAGAAAATCCTGGCCTTGGGAAAGACAAAACCCTTTCAAGTCACTGCACTGCCATTGCAGCTGATTTCTCTACTACCTGTCAGATCTCTCAGAAGCATCTTGGCTACCAGGGAGACTGGGATAGTCCTTTAGTAAGGCACACTGCTGTCTTGATATAATCAAAGTTTTGTTACTAATGAATAAGAGGACAGTAGTCATTGGTAGGTAACTAATAGTTTACATGTTAGAGGCCACGTTAAAGAGTTTGAACTTTATTGAGAGTAATGAAGGATTGCAAGGGGTTGGATTTGCTTGTTAGAAAGCTAATTCTGGATGCAATGTAGACAGTATACTAGAGAAAGGCTCAAGACAACAGAGTAATCCATGCAAGAGTTAACGGTGGCCTATGAGACAGTGATGATGATTAACTTAATTGGGTCAAGGCAGGGTATAAACTAATAAATAACATTATTCATCAATAAATATTAAATGAAGGTATTTAACATGTGCAAGACATTGAGCATGACCTTATGGATGTAGTCATGGAAAAAAAAAAAGACACAATCGTTGTTCTCATGGAGTTTACATTCTATTGGGGACCCAAATGTAAAGTTGCAACTCTGGCTAGTGCTAGGAAAGAGTTAGCCTATTCAGAGATGTCACAGGGGTGTTTCCATTGAAGAAGTAGTCTTTGATCTAAGATCTGAATGAGTATGAGTAAACTAGGGGAAGAATGGCCGGAAGGGCTCCTTGTAGAGTCCTGATTGGAGAACAGAGTGGATGCCTGGATACCAGATGATTGCAGCTGTTTAGCTAAAAGATAATAGATAAGAGTGGAGGTTGGGGTGGGGAATGGAAAAAAGTGGAAGGAATTAAGATAAGTTTAGGAGACAAACTTCAAAGGATTTAATGGGGAGATATAAGAGAGGACTGGGTTATGGCTGCTGCCATGTTTCTATCTCCTGCATCAGGATGATCTGGAGGGCTTATCAACCCAGATGAGGAGTTTCAGAGAGAACCAGATTTGGAAAGAAGGCCAGAAATTTGGTTTTGGACATTTTGAGTTTGTGATGTCTTTGAGATATCCAAGAGGACATGTTGAGTAGGCCCTTGGAGCCATGAGTGTGGAATTTAGATGAAAGGATTGGGCTAGAAAAGAACCAGAAGAGTTGAGTGTATAGGTGGGAAGTGAAGCCATGGGTGTGAATGAACTTGCCCAGGGAGAGAATGTTGAACTGGAGAGATTGCAGGACCTAGCCTTAAGGAACATCAACTCATTTCTCACATTAAAAAAAAAAAAAAATCATTCTACCTCCTTTTATACATCAGACACTACCTCTGGAATCAGTGACCTTTAGCCTAAATACTAAAGCTCTTCATTGCCACCCAGGCTGAGTGACAGGGCTTCAGACTTCCTATATTCCCATACTGGTTTTTTGTTTTTTTGAGTCAGAGTCTTACTCTGTCACTCAGGCTGGAGTGCAGTGCACTCTTATGGCCACCGTAACCTTGATTTACTGGGCTCAAGCGATCCTTCTGCCTCAGCCTTCCAAGTAGCTGGAGCTACAGGCATGCACTACCATGATTTATTTTATGATTTTTATGATTTATTGTAGAGATGAGGTCTTGCCATGTGGCTCAGGCTGGTCTCAAACCCTTGAGCTCAGGCAGTCCTCTTACTTCTGCCTCCCAAAGGGCTGGGATTACAGGTGTGAGTCACTGTGCCGGTGCCCATTCTGTTTTCAACTTGCAGGAGGTCTTGGTAAGCAATTGTTCCTAAGTACCTTTCCTAACACTAGTGAGAAATTTATGGGAGCTCTGAGGAAATTGGAGTGTTCACCAGCCTTTCCCTGTCTTCAGGAAGCTTGTAGAGTGAATATTTTTTGTACAAAAGCCTCTAGGTCCAAGTTGAGACCACTAAGCTGCGCCAGGGCCCAGTCTTATGTTAACCTTTGGAGTTTTACTGGGTTGCTTATGACTTTGCTATACCCAGAAGGCATGATCTCTGTCCTATTGTGCCTTCTCCCCTTTAGAACAGCAAGGCTTTACCTCCTAACTGTGGCTGAGTCTTCTCTTGAGCTACAGCTCATGGCCCCAACAGCTTTGCTATGTGGGGCTTCTCAGCTCCCAGGATCACCCCCCTTCCCTCCAGGGTGAATGATGGGAAGCTAGACTGGTTTGGCTGCTGTCAACATGTCAATAAATCTCTTAGTATCCTAGACACACAATGCTAGATTGTGGGGAGCCTGCCTGGGGAGAAGGAATTACAGCCCTCTAGAGAAGAAGAATTGTTTGTGAGCCTGTGGGGGGGGGGGGGGCTTCAGTTCAGCTCCTATGAGCCCCAGCCCTGCCTGGAAAAGTATAGGGTCAGCTGAGACCCCAAGACCACTTCCTGGTTGGGACAATGATCTTTTCTTCTGCCAAACCACAGGCACTTGGCTGGCCTTCAGAGCCACCGTCTCCAGCTGACTGTTTTTTGTTTCTTTGGTTTAAAAAAAAAAAAAACATTTTATTATGGGAGTTTCATACATACAACAAATATAGAAAAAAAATACCCCTGTTCCCATTATACAGCTTCAAAAATTATCAAAATAATACCAATATTGTAGCATCTATCTACCACATATTTTTTGAAAGATATTTATGATAATTGTTGAGAAAAAGCAGATTACAAAAACTACATCCAATGTGGTCACTTAAAAAAAAAGATAATCTGAATAGCTTCAGGATTCACCATTTGATTATAATGTCACATTAAAATTAAACCATGGTTTATGCCAGCTTAGAGCCTAACTGTCTGTGTTTTGAGGTCACACAGTGCCCTTGGAGATGGGAGGATGATTTGGAGCCAACTCTGAGTCATACAGCCCAGCTTTCAGTCTCTAAGCTACGGTGTAGCTTCTGACTGTTGCACAGACTTGCCATTGGGTGGACATCCTGACAGACTATGGACAGGAGGGGAGAAGACAAACTCATCCTTGTAGAACCCTATGTTGTGGAGGAAATAGTAGGGACAGCAGCTCAGGAAAAGATTCCCTAGAAGGCTCACACTGTTGCAATTCCAGGACTGCATAAAAGTTGACACTGAACAGCATAGCAGGATGGGGACAACACAAAACTGTACCGTGAGATTGTCTTGCTCATTCATTCAAACATTACTATCTACTATTTGCCAGTCACCTTGCTTAGGCAACAGAAATAATGAAGTGACTAAGAGCTTTTCCAGGAACAGACATGGCCACAGATCATGAAAATAGAATGGATAAGGGCTGTAAGCAGAAGTACACGAAGGATTGTAGCCCACTAGAGATGAAGAAGGTAAGTGTTCACTGGAGGTGGCTGACTCTTGAAAGAAGGGGACAGATAATTTACAAACGAAAGCACAGAAAGTACAAAATAATCATAACCATAATGATGCCATAAATCAGTTAATGATATGCATGCTGAAGTATTTAAAGGAAACTGTACTAAATGTCTACAATTTATTTTGAAATGCATCAATAATTTTTTAAAAATTATTTTGAGGTTGATAGTATATAGTCCTCATTCCGTAACTCATTGTGATCTTAGGAAATTATCTCTGTTTCTGTACTTTAGTTTCCTCCTATGTAGAATAGAGATAACAGTGCCTACATGAGAAGCCTGTTTGAATAAATGTTGTTTTAAGCACTTAATACATTCCAGACCTTACATATACATAATTTCTAACCTTAACAATTCTGAAAGTAGGTTTCAACATTTTACAGATGAAGAAAACTAACAGTTGGGTTGCTCATGCTTATATGTATTAAAGACTGGCATGGGGATTTGAACCCATTTCTTTCTGACATCCAAACTCATGGCTTTCCTACTATTTCAATGACTAATAGGATAAGAACACTGAATGTAGGTAGAATAAGGGCATAATGAGATAAAGACATCTTTCTGACATTTCTTTTCTGGTTGGTTGGGGTATATCTTGGCAGAACTGCCTAACGCTAAATTTGGCTCATCATAGAAGTATGATTATAAGTTTTATCAAGACTATTGATGAAATCCTTTGTGATTGTGTTCCCCATACGGCAGGTAGAAAACCAAAGCATGAATTTAACACTGGAACTCCTACAGCTCAATATTAAAAAGGTACAGAAGCCAGTAAAAAAGTTGAGGAGGATGCAAAAGATTTTTTTTTTTTTTGAGTTGGAGTCTTACTCTGTCACCCAGGCTGGTGTACAGTAACATGCTTATGACCACCGCAACCTCAACCTGGTGGGCTCAGGTGATTCTTCTGCCTCAGCCTTCCAAGTAGCTAGAACCACAGGCACGTGCCACCATGCCTGACTAATTTTTGGTTTGTTGTAGAGATGAGGTCTCACCAAGTTGCCCAGGCTGGTCTCGAACCCCTGGGTTCAGGAAATCCTTTCACCTCTGCCTCCCAAAGTGCTAGAATTATAGGCATGAGCCACTGTACCTTGCTGCAAAAGATTTTAACAGAACTTTCACAAAAGAAAATATATGAATGACCAATAAGTACATGAACAGATGCTCAACATCATCAGTTATCAGGGAAATGCAAAATAAAACCGCGAGAGATATCACTACATACACATGCAACTGGCTAAAACTAAAAAGTCAAAAAAATTAAAAACATCAAATTGTTAACAAGGATGTAGAGCAACCAAAACTCATACATTGTTGGTGGAAGCATAAAATGATACATTTTGGAGAAAGGTCTAACAACTTTTTATAAAATTAAACATATACCTACTCTTTTGACCCAGCAATTCCACTCCTAAATATTTGCCCAAGAGATATGATAAGTATATGTCTATAAAGTAACCTGCACAGACAGCAACCTTGTTCATAATAACCCCAAACTTTAAAAAGCTCAGGGGCCTATCAACAGGAGAACAGATGAACTATGGTATATTCATACAACATAATACTATGTAGTAATAAAAAATTGCTGATATGCGCAAGAATATGGATGATTCTCAAAAATATTCTTCTTGTGAAAGAAGTCTTACACAAAAAGTGTACATGCTATATGGTGATTTCATTTATAGTTAGTTCCAAAACAGATTAATCTATTGTGGACAAAAATCAGAACAATAGTTATATCTGGAAGGTGGTGTAGGACCATAGATTGACTAGGAAGGCGGGCGTATTAGTCAGTTTCTAGGGTTCTAGGAATGTTCAGTATTGTGATAGGAGTTAGGGTTACACAGGTGTGTGCATTTGTCAAAACTAAGTGAATGTGCACTTCAGATTTGTGCATTTCACTGCATGTTGATTTTACATTAAAAGAAAAATGTAAGCAAATATGGAATTCAGTTAATGATATGCATGCTGAAGTAAAGTGTACTAATGTCTACATTTTACTTTGAAATGCATCAAACAAGGTGGACTGATGGATTACAGACGGATATGCAATAAAGCTCAAGTATAGTAAAATGTTAATGGTGTTGAGAGCAGGTGTTCATTGTTAACAGGTTGCTCATTCTTTCAATTTTGCTATATGTTTGAAAATTATCTTAATAAAAGGGCCAGTTGTTTGAGGGTTTTGCAGGAAGGCTCTGCTACCACAGGAGCTGGGTAGGCTTATGGACAAGCAAATGGAGACACAGAAGCCAAGAGAGGCAGGAGGCCAGTTGTATGACCTCGCCAAAGTAACTGACCTTTTTCAGTCAATGTTTCCTCAACTATCAAAAGGATAAAATGGCAGTGGTGGCGCTCCGTATCATTCAGTACTTTCTGGTGGGTGGAAACACCTTGAACTGGGTGAGTCCTCAAGCCTGCCCCTCGCCCTCTCATGCCCTCTGGGCGCCCCCTTAGATCCATCAGCCCCGAAGGGAATCTCCGGTGCCCGGGTGGGCAGTCGCTCCGACAGCAGCACCCGCCGTCCTGGATGGCGCCGGAAGTAGATTCTCACACGCCTTTCCTATTGGATGCCGGCCGTTCATGGGGGCGAGCGCCGCTGGGAGGCGGAAGCAGCCCCAGGCATGGCGGCGGCCAGGCCGCTCGCTCTGCTGGTGCTGCTGGTCCTGGGGCCAGGCGGCTGGGGCTTTGCAGATCCCCCTCGCGACAGCCTGCGGGAGGAGCTTGTCATCACCCCGCTACCTTCTGGGGACGTGGCCGCTACGTTCCAGTTCCGCACGCGCTGGGATTCGGAGCTGCAGCGGGAAGGAGGTGAGAGAGTGAGATCTGAGAGGAGAAATACTTCTGTGGCACCTGCTGAGGTTAGGGTGGGGGCAAGCCTTGGGAGTGGGGTCTGATCCTTGGGTGGGGTTTTGGACCCTGGGTGTGGGTCCCGACGACGTGGGAATCACTTACCTGCTCCTTCTTCCCCAGTATCTCATTACAGGCTCTTCCCCAAAGCTCTGGGGCAGCTTATCTCCAAGTATTCTCTACGGGAGCTGCACCTGTCATTCACGCAAGGGTTTTGGAGGACCCGATACTGGGGGCCACCCTTCCTGCAGGCGCCATCAGGTGCAGAACTCTGGGTCTGGTTCCAAGACACTGTCACTGAGTGAGTGTGTATCTTGGGTCCTGTTGTAGGTCATGGAGGGCGTGTGGCGGGGAAGGAGTTGGCACCTTGCCACTGCATCTTGCCACTGCTCTTAGGGGCAGCAGTTCCAGTAAATAGTGATTTGATGGTGGTAGAGTTGGCGTTGGAAGTAAGAAATTTTAACACTGAGTGACATTCTTTGCGTGCTGAATAAACTTTCTGCCCTAATACTTTTAGACATGAGGTAGTATATGCATATTCCTACAGAGGCAGATAGCAAACGGTTGATGCTTATTTGGATGTAAGCGGTAGAAAACTGGCAAACTGAATAATTTTTTAAAAGTCATTCATTCCTTTATAATACATATCATGAAGCCTAAACACAGCATATCTGTGGGCTAGAATTGGCCTATAGGGTGCTAGAGGGGTTAATTTTGTGTGGGAGAGGGGCAAGTCTAGTTATTGTGTTTGTACTACAAAAAGTTATTCCCCAGTAGCTGCTGGGCCTATCCTATCTAGAGTAGAACCTTTCTGTGCAGACTTTCTATGCAGAGGTTGCAAATTTATGTCTACATGGTCCACACAGGTAACATCAATGAGTAAAAGTGTAAAAAAAATTGATAGAGGCACAGGAATGGGAAATATTTCTCATTTTTCTCTTAATCTCACTGTAAGAAATTGGTAGTGCAAGTGTGGTACATTTAGGGCAAAAATAGGGACTGTGGCAGGCTAGAGAGGACAGCTATCACTCAGCTCTTATGGGTTGTTGCCATATGGAAATAGAGGCCTAATGTCAGACTTTCATTTTTCAAGAGATACCAGAAATCTGGAATTTAATGTAAAAATTGGCCAATTTAAATATCAGTAAGCAATTTTTAAAAAAAGTGTAAGTGTTATCAGGTCAATGGTTATGCTTTTGATAGAGTTTTCAGGCTTCAAATTTGTGATCTTTATTTAAGGCTTAAGGATTGGAGCAATTGAAAGGCACTGAACAGAGAATTATCAAAAATCTTAGGACTGACCAGGCATGATGACTCAGGCACGTAAACCCAGCACTTTGGGAGGCTGAAGTAGAAAGATCACTGTAGGTCAGGTGTTCAAGACCAACCTGGGCAACCTAGTGAGTCCCCATCTCTACACACAGAACAAAAAACCCCAGGATAGCACTAAGATGATACAAAATGAGGAACAATCAGTGACTTCCCAACTTGCCAAGTCTTTCTCTCTCTCTTGCCTGAACTCTGACTCCCACCTCCCCCCCTTTTTTTTGCTATCTTCTCTGCTATTGCTGTCTCCCCTCAGCCTGTAATTGCCTATAATGTGGAGCTAATATTTAGAATTCTAGTGCTTATTACGGTTTATGCTTTCTATTATTAAGAAATAATCTTTTAGCCAGGCTCAGTGGCTCAGCCTGCAATCCCAGCACTTTGGGAGGTTGAAGTGAGTGGATTGCCTGAGCCCGTGGGTTCGAGACCTGCCTGGGCAACTTGGCAAGACCTCATCTCTACAATAAATCAAAAAAAAATTAGCCGGGCGTGGTAGCACGTGCCTGTAGTTCCAGCTACTTGGAAGGCTAAGGCGGAAGGATCGCCGGAGCTCAGCATGTCAAGGCTGCAGTGACCGGGAGCGGCCACTGCACTCCAGTCTGAGTGACAGAGTGAGACTCCAACTCAAAAAAAAAAAGAAAGAAAGAAAGAAAGAATATCTTTTGATATTTCTCTAGGAAAAGAACTCCTAATTTAAGCTGATGTTTTTGTAAGTCCTAGAATGGTTATTTGAACCTTGTTCTATGAACTTTATTGAATATAAGACTTCCTGCCATGAGGGTAGAACCAGAACTTACTTTCTTGTACAAGATATTCACCATAGGGCAGTGTGTATTGTTTTGCTTAGCTGAGCACATTCAGGGAAGATCAGTGAGCTCATCTCAGCTCCACGATGTGGACCACTTTCCATGGTGTTGTGGGAAGTGCAGAGATAACCCGGGCTAGTCCTTGCCCACAAGTTGCTCACAGCTTAGTTAGGGGGAAAAGGTGCTTAGAACAAGATGCTGCTGTTTTCTAGCCATCTTCCAGGAGAGATCTAGTGAGATACTTGGAAGATCAGGATTGCAACACCACAAAGGAGAAGGAGACTGTGCTTAAGGGCGGCAGGAAAGGCTTCCTGGAGGAAAGGGTAAGGACTGGAGCTGAACCTTGGAAGTAGACAGAGAGAAGAGCTGTCTTAGGGAGGAAGAATCAACTGAGCAAAGACCCATGGGGATGCAGGGATATCCAGCGAAGAATAAGGAAGAAGGGACTGAATAGAGTGAGACCCAGGAAGTGGACTGAGTGGGAGCAGTGTTGTTCACAGTGCCATCAACTGGCCTGTCTACTGGTTATGAATACCATGGGTTCCTCCTACCATAGGTTTGGCAGCCAGCTGTGGGCTTTGAGGGAGGGAGCAGAGCAGCCCCAGGACAGTGAGTGGGTTTGTGTCTCCATCCAGTGTGGACAAATCTTGGAAGGAGCTCAGTAATGTCCTCTCAGGGATCTTCTGTGCCTCTCTCAACTTCATCGACTCCACCAACACAGTCATTCCCACTGCCTCCTTCAAGCCCCTAGGGCTGGCCAATGGTAAGATAAACCCTGCAGCCCTTTCCTTCTTCCTGTTACCTCCTGCCCAAAACTTGGCCTTCTGAAACATTCGATTTCCTCCTTCCTCAGCCTGGGCTAGATCCTTACTCCCCTGGGTGTGCGGAAGACCTCCTGAGACTATGCCATCTCTGCATTGCCTTCTCCCTCTTCCAGCTGGGACTGTCAGGGCTGTGGTGCTAGAGAGGGGTGTGTGGAGCAGGAGGGTCTTCCCCCATCTCTAGAATGTGGGTCCTGAGGGGTGGGGTCCCAAGGCCCACTCCAGATGGACCTCTGTCTCCTTCAGACACTGATCACTACTTCCTGCGTTATGCTGTTCTGCCACGGGAGGTTGTCTGCACTGAGAACCTCACTCCATGGAAGAAGCTCTTGCCCTGTAGTTCCAAGGTGAGGCCATGTAACCTGGCAGCCAGGATGCCTTTATAGAACCTGTACCCTGAGTCAGGTGCTCCACACAGGGCATCTCTTCCTACCTCTTCCAGGCAGGCCTCTCTGTGCTGCTGAAGGCAGATCGCTTGTTCCACACCAGCTACCACTCCCAGGCAGTGCATATCCGCCCTGTTTGCAGAGTAAGTCATAGAGAATAGGGGAGGGTGCCACCCAGGGGCTCTGAAAGAAGGTGTAGGTAAATAAAGCACATCGCCCAGTTGTCTGGCGCGGACTGAGTAGTAATGTACATGTGATGATGATTATTCAGGGCATTGGCCAAGCACCAGGGACACTGAGTGGTTGCCTAGTGAGCACTCAATAAATTTTTGTCATGGAGTATAGTGGTTCAGAACAATAGCTATGTGGATGCAACTGTTAGCTTAGTCACTTGCCAGCTGGCATGACCTCGAGTGAATCATTTCATTCCCCTGGGTCTGGTTTCCTCTTCCGTCACATGAGATTAATAGTTGAATCCACTCCTAGGGTTGTTGTGATGGTTTATCAAACTGATGCACATAAAGTTGTCGGCACGGGGTCAAGTGCTCAGGAGTGAATGGTAGCAAATCAGTGGATGCAAAGATATATAGATGAGGGACTGAGTCTGAGTGGGAGTCCCTCAGGCTGTGTGGTTGAGTAAGAGTGTTGCCCCTCTCTGCTGCCTCTGGTCCTTGTAGAATGCACACTGTACCAGCATCTCCTGGGAGCTGAGACAGACCCTTTCGGTTGTATTTGATGCCTTCATCACAGGACAGGGGAAGAAAGGTAAGCCACTTTGGCAACTCATCACTACCCACCCAGCCCTGCCCTATCTGCAGACCAGGCCTAGCCATGGCCCCTGCTCAACCCTGCTCTCTGCTCCTCAGACTGGTCCCTCTTCCGGATGTTCTCCCGAACTCTCACAGAGCCCTGCCCCCTGGCTTCAGAGAGCCGAGTCTATGTGGACATCACCAGCTACAATCAGGTACCAAGGTCTTCACCCACACAAACACACCTCTGCTCCCCAAGGTCAGCCTGTCCCCTCTGCTTGCTTCTCAGCCCTGCCCCTCTGTCTCCAGGACAATGAGACATTAGAGGTAAACCCGCTGCCCACCACTACATATCAGGATGTCATCCTGGGCACTCGGAAGACCTATGCTGTCTATGACTTGCATGACACAGCCATTATCAACAACTCTCGCAATCTCAATCTTCAACTCAAATGGAAGAAACCCCCAGAGAATGGTGAGTGGGTGCAGGAGTGGACCATCAGAGTCACAACAGGCTACAGAGATTTCTTCTCTTAGGAGAAAACTCACAATCCTATATTGAATAAGATCATAGGATTGTGTTTAGACCCAGATCTCTGGAGTCATATGCTCCTGGCTCTGACTCCACCTGTTTCTTTTTCTTTTCTTTTCTTTTTTTTTTTTTGAGACGGCAATATTTATTGAGAGGACAGAAAAGCTCCCACAGTGGGAGGGTACCCGAAGTAGTTGCCCTTCTCCACCTCCTTCAAGCTCGATGACCTTGGGCAGCCTGAGCTTTAGTGTCCACATCTGAAAAACAAGGACAGTAATTCCTATTGTTTGGGATGAGATCATGTAATGGCTTGAGACTCCGAACGTAGCGTGGGAATTGGGGTGAGGAGTGACCTTGTTCTTTAGCAGCTGTTAACTGTTGACTTTTCTCTACACAGAGGCCCCCCCGGTACCCTTCCTGCATGCTCAGCGGTATGTGAGCGGCTATGGGCTACAGAAGGGGGAGCTAAGCACGCTGCTGTACAACACCCACCCATATCGGGCCTTCCCCGTGTTGCTGCTGGACACCGTGCCCTGGTATCTGCGGCTATATGTGCATACCCTCACCATCACGTCCAAGGGCAAGGAGAACAAACCAAGTGAGGAACTGAGTCCCAAACCAGGCCCCCAGCCCATCCTCTCATTTTCTCTCCAGGTCCCTCAAATTCTCATTTTTCAGGGTAATTCCTGAAGTGCCTCTGAAAAACTACACAGGCATAAAGACTTAGGAATAGCTTGAAAAGTGGAATGGGGAGCCTCACTGTGCCAGATTCAGAAGTGATTTTAAAGCAGAAATCATTAAAACACGTAATCCTAGTGATTCTTAATAGGATTGTATGAGAGCAATAGAGTCCTTTCTTCGCTTGCTTTCTCCTCCTTTCTGGGGACTTAGGCACATTCTTGTAGTTTTATGATGAGTCATAGACTCATTAAGGCAGAAACGGTTTGGCAGCCAGGGGTTTGGAAGCTCAGAAGACAAAGTGGGGTAGGTGGGTTCTTCCTTGGAAAAGGGTAGAGGTATAGTTAACATTTATTGTTGCTTTCTCTTATTTTTCTAAGGAGAAGTTAATATTTACTGAGTGCTTTTATTCGGTGCCAGGCATAGTACCAAAGCACTTGCTTTTCTTTGGTGTGGAGGGAGAGTAAGAATAAAGAAAAAGGCTTCTGGGGGAGAGGTTGTATCAAATCCCAAACAACCAAGCTTTAAAAACTTTAAATTCCTCTGTTGTTTCCCACATTTTCAAACCTATGATTAATAGTTTAACTTATTTCCAGCACCTTTATTTATACTGCCTTCAAAATCTCATTTCAAATATTTTTCCTGTATATGATGTAGGTTTTTCTGGCTCCCTCCTCCCCACTGCACTTTGGAAAATTTCCAACACAACCCAAGCAGAATAGTGTAATAAGCTTCCATGCACCCATCCCGCAGCACCAGGTCTCCAGCCTCCTATCATTTTTGTTCATCTCTCCTGTCTTTTTCTCTTTTTTAAAATTGGTTTTTTTTTCTGATGGAGTATCGTAAAGCAAATCTTAGACATTATATTAATTCATCTTTAAATACTTAAGTATATATTTCTAATAGAAAAATTACTTTCAAAAATATAACCATATCATTATCACTTCTATTTTCCTTGATGATCTTAAAAATGACTTTTTAATAACTGGTTTGTTTGAATTGAGATCTCAACAACAGTCTCACATTGCATTTGCTAAATATGTCTCTTTAAGTATCTATCTTTTTAAAATTGTTTGTTTATTTTTTATTTTGTAGAGACAGGTTCTTACTGTGTTGTCCAGACTGGTCTCGAACTCCTGGGCTCAAGCAATTCTTCCACCTCAGCCTCCCAAAACTTTAGGATTACAGACGTGAGCCATTGTGCCCGGCCTAGTTTCTCTCTTTTTAAAATATTAATGAACTTTATTTTTAGAGCAGTTTTAGTTTTACAGAAAAATTGAGTATAAAGTACAGAGTTCCCATATATTCTCTCTCCTCCAACTCAGTTTCTCTTATTGTTAACATCTTACATTTGGTGTAGTACTCTTAAGTATCTTTTAATCTATAACAGTTCCCATGCTTTTTTTTTTTTTAATGCTATTTATTTGTTGGAGAAACTGGGTCATTTGTTATACAGAATGTTCTACATTCTGGACTTGTCCTCATGCTGGTGTTTAACGTGTTCCTCCATTTCCTATATTTCTTGTGTATTGTGGTTAGATTTAGAAACTTGATTAGATCCATGTCCCATATTTTTGTCAAGAAAAATTCCCAAGTGGTTCTGTGAAATTTCTCTTGTATTACATCAGGTGCTTGGTGTCTGGTGCCCCAGTTTTAGTGATGTGAAGATTGGTTAGTGGTCTGCAGCACTCTTGAAAGCATCTCTTGACCACATCCTGGGACTACTACCCTGGAAACACCCTCTCATTTTCTGAGACCCTGCTTCTTTCCCTCGCCTGCCTGGCTTCTGTGATCCCAGGCCCACCTTCTATGCACTCAGATTGAGGCTCCAAGACAAGCGGTAGGGACTGGAGGGGTAATAAACAAGTGTGAGTGGTTCTTGTCTGTCTCCAGGTTACATTCACTATCAGCCTGCCCAGGACCGGCTACAGCCCCACCTCCTCGAGATGCTGATTCAGCTTCCAGCCAACTCGGTCACCAAGGTCTCCATCCAGTTTGAGCGGGCACTGCTCAAGTGGACCGAGTACACGCCGGACCCCAACCATGGCTTCTATGTCAGGTAGGCTCCACCCCCACAGGTCTGCCCTCATCCTCCTGACCCACCGTCTCTGCCACCTACCCCTTGGTGGAGGAGCCAGTTGAAAACACAGATCATTTGTCTGCTTCTCTGCATAGCCCATCTGTCCTCAGTGCCCTTGTGCCCAGCATGGTAGCAGCGAAACCAGTGGACTGGGAAGAGAGTCCCCTCTTCAACAGCCTGTAAGTGTGACCAGTGTCTGCTGGGCCTTAGCACAGGTAACCAGACTCCTCAGGAGAGGTTGGGGTAGATGTTACCTCTTCCAAAGTCATGTGTAGGTTTAACTCCATCCTAATAAAAATCTTAAGTGGCCTGATATTTGTAAAGACTTGTTAAAGTATGTCTTGAAGAATGAATAGTAAGAATAGTAGTACTTACAGCCTACATTTACTCACTGGCACTCTTAAATATATTTAATTGAGCCTTTATCAAATGCCAAAAGCACCGGCTGTACAAGAGAAAACAAAACAGCTGAGTCTTCATTTTGCTTGCAGCTTAGGGGGGAGATTCTGTTCTAGAGAGTAATGGGATAGAGTAGGGAGTAATGTATTGGGCTATCTAAGAAGGCTGCTTTGAGGTGACATTTAGACTTGGACCAGGCCACGAAAGAGGTCTCTTTCCTTCCCTTCAATACAAGACTGCTCTCCTTTTATCAGGTGTTTGTATTGAGCTTTTGCCTTTTGTCGAAAAGTTTTGAGGCTAAGAGAACTTTGGGAACCCTTACCGTCTCGCACTGGCAGCCCAGGAATGAGGTTGGAGTGAGGTGGGGAGGAGTGGTCAGCACTCTCTCACTACTCCTTCCCTGACCCCCCCAGGTTCCCAGTCTCTGATGGCTCCAACTACTTTGTACGACTCTACACTGAGCCGCTACTGGTGAACCTGCCAACACCAGACTTCAGCATGCCCTACAACGTGATCTGCCTCACGTGCACTGTGGTGGCCGTGTGCTATGGCTCCTTCTACAATCTCCTCACTCGAACCTTCCGCATTGAGGAGCCCAGCACCGGCGGCTTGGCCAAGCGGCTGGCTAACCTTATCCGGCGCGCCCGAGGTGTCCCCCCGCTCTGATTCTCACCCTCTTCGGCGGCAGCAGCTGCTATTTCTCTCTGTGGAGGATGGCGGTGACCCCAAGGACTCTTTCTGCCACTTGCTTTCTCCAGAATTGGCATTTGAACCAAGTTGTCCCTGGTCCAGGCCAGGGCCTAGAGTTGCACTGTCCAGTACAGTAACCACAAGCCAAATGTGGCATTTGAATTTAAGTTAACTTGAATTAGAAATTCATTTCCTCTGCTGTAGTGGCCACATTTCAGGTGCTCAATAACCAACAGTGGTTAGTGGCTACTATATTGGACTACACAGAAAAATGTTTCCATCATTGCAGAAAGTTCTGTTGGACAGCACTGGTCAAGGTCATAGGGTATGCTGAAGAGTTTTATCACTGTGTGGTAGATGGAATTTACTGGTGGAATCTTATTTGTGGAATAAAAAATGGCTGCTTCCTTGGTTCTTTGCCTCCTGTCCTTGAGGCCTAGGAATAATTGGGAAGTAGGACTTGTTTGTTGGGTGCCCTAACAGGACCTCCTAGCCTACCCTTAATTCCCAAGAAAAAAACCTGAGAACTCCTTCCTACCTCCTCCTACCCCTACCAGAAATTTCTTCTCCTCCTACTCACCCCTCCTCCCCCTTGTCATCTGACTGTACTTCCCAGAACTCCTGGGTTTGGTTGGGAGTGTCTCTGTAAGCATAATTCATGACCATGAAAATGAATCATCCTACCTTTTGGGGTCCTGAGAACCAGTACACATCACCAAAGTTAGAGTGGAGACATGGGGAACTTTGGGCGGTTTTCTAAAACTATGGTGTGCATCAGAGTCACTGGCAGTGCTTGTGAAAATAATATAGATTCCTGGGGTCCAGACCCTGGTAATTCAGTTGGTCTGGGTATAGCCCAGCCTCTAAATTTTTAGCAGGCTCCTCAGGAGCTTGTGTTGTGGGTGGTCCTCAGACTGCCCACAGGCTTTGAAGCCAGGCCCATTGGACTGACGCCTGTCCCTGCCCACCTCCCCTGCTTGTTACATAACCCTGGATTCCTGTAAAATAAACTTAGGCGGATGCCTCCTGCTACTCTCATCTTCTGTCTTTTCCTCCAGCACACTTGGCGTCAACTGTGGGTTATTTGTGGTTTCCCCCACTCCTACCCCACTCAGTTCCCCATCATAGTGGCTTGGCCTAGAATGCCCTGTTCCACCAAACACACACGCCCCTCAACTGCCTGTTCACTCTTACAAAACTAGACAAAGAGCTGCTTCCTCCAGGAAGTTTCCCCTGCCATGCAAGACTGCTATGTATGCCCCCAACTGTGCTTCCCCAGCTCTCTGGACTTCACATACTTCTTACACCTAGCTGCTTTTGTCCTTTCACTTCTGTTAGACGGTGTGCTTCCTGGAAGCACAGGGTCTGTCTTCCATTGAGACATGACCTGTCTCAGGATATGAAAGTGTTCAACCAGCAAGCAGTAAGTGCATGAATGTGTATGGGCTGTTCGGGCTTGAGAGCTGGGACCCAATGGGTAGGTGGCATTCTGGCAGTTTCACATGCACGGTTGTAGCAGTCTAACACAGTAGTAGTGGTATCTGTACAGCCAATATGATGGGCTATTTGGGTTGCCCTGGAGGGATCTCTATGAGCCCTTAGGATGTGCAGGTGATGTGTGTGCATGTGTAGGAAGGAAAGGTGGTGAGCTAGTCTAGACCATGGGCAAAAGCAACTTGGTCAAGGTAAGAGTTTATTTCCAAAGCAGTAAATCAGCAGCTGTAAATAAAACAAGAATGCAGGTGGGTGGATATCCACAGCTGCTGGTCTGCAGAGTGTGCCTAGTGTGGAATAAAGCCTGCATAGCATGGGGCATCTGCGCTGTGGCTTAGCTGTCTTTTTTATTTTTTTAAATAGAGATGTGGCCTCACTATGTTGCTGAAGCTGATTTCAAATTCCTGGCCTCAAGAGATCCTCCCGTCTCAGCCTCCCAAAGTGCTGGGATTATAGGTGTGATCCACTATGCCTGGCCATGGCTGTCTTTATATCCTCAACCTTGTCAGTACCTAGAAACGGCCTCTACTACCATGCCCTATCATATGTAACCTGTGTGCTGACAACATCTGCATCTCTAGTTCAGACCTCCCTGTATTCTGGATTCATTTACCCAACTGCCTACTTACCCTCCCCATTTGGATGTCAAAGACATCTCAAACTGAGTATCTCCAAAACTTAGCTTCTGATGTTCCCCCTGCCCCAAACATGCTCATGTATAGTTGCTTCATTTCTGTTAATGGCAACTCATCTTTTCAGGCGCATGGGACAAAAAATCTTTGAGTCATCTTTAATCCTCTCCCACATCCTGTATGCACACTATCTTCAAAATAAATCCAGAATTCCAACCCCTCTCACCACCTCCACCACCAAGACATCAACAAGGTCTTCCCTGGCCATATCTTATTTTGAATTGCTGCCTTAGCCACAAACTCACCTGTCCTGTTTTCCTCGACAGCCCTCAGTGCCATCTAACACACTGTGTGACTTACTTGTTTGTTAATTATTCCTCATTAAAATGTAAACTCCACGAAAGCAAGGATTTTTGCCTTTTGTAGCTGCAGTGTCTAGAACTGCCTGGCATGTAGTTTGCAATCCAGTCATTGATGAATGAATGAGTGAATGAATGTGTAAATGTCATGTGGTAATTTTGCTGCTAAACAAGCCGGGTCATGCAGATGTCCAGGTTCTGAGCCTTGAAATTCTTGGTGCACCAGGACTGGTACTTTCCTGCCTATCCCTGCACTCAGGGCTAGCACAGTTCCTTTTTGCTTGTTTAGGGCTTCTCCAAGGGAAGCCTGGCTGTGACTTTCTCCAAGAGGGTTGGCACAAAGCAGTGCCATCTGGGGAAAGGGGCCAGAGGTGCTGAAGGTCAAGTTAGCGGCCACCCAGGGCATTATGAGGTGGACTTCCCATTCACATGGCCAGAGCTGCCCCCAGAGGAGAGCTTCCATGCTCTGAGAAATCCCAGAGAAAAGAACAGTGAGAGAGTAGATGAGGGGGCTTACAGAAGTGGAGTTGCCAGCAGAAGATCTCTTTATTTTTATTTTTTTTATTTTTTGAGAAGCTCCTATAGATGTTGAGTTTTCAGGCCTAAAATGCTCAATTAAATAATCCACACAGCTGGGCTCGGTGGCTCAGCCTGTAATCCCGTGCCTTTGGGAGGCTGAGGTGAGTGGATTGCCTGAGCCCGCGAGTTCAAGACCCGCCTGGGCAGCGAGACCTCATCTCTACAATAAATCAAAAAATCAGCTGGGCATGGTAGCACTCGCCTGTAGTTCTAGCTACTTGGAAGGCTGAGGCGGAAGGATCGCTGGAGCCCAGCAGGTCGAGGCTGCCACTGCACTCCAGTCTGGGCGAAGAGTGAGACTCCAACTCAAAAAAATAAATAATCCACACCACAGTTTCTGTGTAAATCAATATGGTCTTTTTATCTTCCCTTAATATCTGGGACAGTTCCTTGTAACCAGCTGCTTTTCTATTTGCTGGATGGGTTCTGCCAGCACTCACTCACTGCCTCCCTACAGGACAACAGAGATGGCCTGTGGATTACAGGAATGGAGGGAGAACCCCACCCCTGGGAGCTCCCTGAAGATGTAAGAAAGTGAGACACGTTGGTAACACCTGGGGAGATTAAATGAGCTAATGTTCTCTCCCCTATCACAAACATGCTCACATGCAGTCAGCCCAACTATGTGTGCATAGGATTGAGATAGCTGACAGGCCAGGGCATCAGTGCATAGTGATACCTACTGTTTGCGGAGTACTTACTATGTTCCTGGTACTGTGCTAAGCACTTTACATATGTGGCCAGGATTGGAGCCCAGGTCTGTATGTTTCTAAAACCTATCCTTATACCCATTCCCCCTGCTGGGGAAAGTAACCCAGGTATCCTTCGTAGAAAGGAAAAAAATGGCTAGACCAGAGGTCCTCAAACTTTTAAAACAGGGGGCCAGTTCACTGTCCCTCAGACCGTTGGAGGGGCGGACTATAGTTTAAAAAAAAAA